GCATGAATTAATTTTCACAATTCAAAACCATTGGGAAAAAAACAACAGATACCCCTAAAGGAAAAAAAAACCAGAATGAAGAAAGAAATGAAGATAAAAGAAGAATCAATAAGAGAGAATAAAAACAAACATAGAAAAAGCAATAGAGAGGAATTACAGTATACTTTAAAATAAAACAGACAACTTCTAATAAGAATGTTCAAAGAAAATAAGAGAAAAGTCACAAACACATATACTGAGAATGAAAAGGGGGCTATATTTACAACTATGAAAGAGATCTTTAAAATCATACGAAAATCCTGTTAACAACCCTGTGCTTATAAATTTGGATGTGAAAAGGAAATGATAATTGTGTAGGCAATATAATTTTCTACAGCTGACTCAAAAAAGCAAAATGAATAAACGCATAACCGTTAACAAAATTAGATCAGTAATCAGATTCATTTTCCACTCCTCAAAGATAGGCGCAGATGTTTGTACAAGCATACACAGGAACTTGGACTATAACAAAATCAGCATTAACAATCAATAGTAAAATAATAAACCACTCAGTAAATAGAGTTGGACTGTTGTTGTCCATGTGAAATAAACAGCCCACGTGCACACAAAAGCATTCCAGGTGGATTCACATTCCCAATATGGAGAGTAGAACTTTAAAACCTCTGAAAGAAAATATGAAAGAATGCCGGTGTTATTTGAAGGTGAGGAATATTACCTGAGAACATTTGTAAAGAACGCCGTCCCCCATCCCCTCTCTTCCCTGTGGTTTGGGAGGCTCACGGGAATGTGTTACATAATAAAGCTCTCCTGTCCTCAAGCTTTGGGTTGGCTTTGCCAAGTGGGTCACTGGCAGGAAGTGTCAGGACAGGAGGAAGTTAAGGAAGCCGGTCACCTGAACACCTGGCTCCAGCGGGTTGTGCTTGTTCGGCAGGCTGCATCTCCCGTCAGCCATGCGCCTGCCTCCAGCCCCCTCTCAGGCTCAGGAATAGCTCTCTGCTTCCTGTCTTCACTTCTAGGAGTGGTTGCCGATACTTTTCCTTGGGGACTGCCCTACCCCTTGTTGGTTTCTCGAAACCCCGAACACATCTTTGTAAATTACCCCCTTTATTACACTCTCCCCAATTTCCTGACTCTGAATACATCATGTGGTTTTCTTTCAAGACTATAAATCAGTAAGGAAAAGAATGATAAAAATTGATTTTAAACTTCTGCATAGTAAAACAACCACACCACCAGCAAAAGGCGGGAGGTAGGGAGGAAAGAAGGGAGGAAGGGAGGGAGGGAGAGGGAAGAAAGAAAAAAGTCACGGACAGGAAGATTTTTGTAATGCTCCTAACTGATAAAGAATTACCACCTAAAATGCATGAAGAACTAGGCAGATCAATAAGAAAAATGAGAAAGGGGTATAAACAGGAAACTCATAGAAGAGGAACTAGAATAGCAAAAAAAGGAAAGCAAAACCCCAAGTTATTATAAATTTTCCATCCCTACACAACTTCTGCACCTCACTCATCTTCTCCAGCTTCCTGGGCAGCTGTGGGTTGAGAAAAGGCTGGGAAGTAGGCACTGAGGCACTCTGGGCAGAGTACTCTGTGGTGAGGCTTGCGTGGGAATGACAGCAGTGGGGTAACGGCTGGAGAGGTTTCAGAGGAACAAGTCACTGGGTGAAGAGGTTCAGAAGGAGACCCAGCCTGGGCTGGGCAAGGTGATGTAGCCGCGTTTCACAGCAGCCCGCAAGAGATGGAGGATAGAGTGAGGGCTCTTGTTCGTCAGAAATAGAGACAAAGAGATGAGGATGGAGCCAGATGACAGTAAACTTTGCGAGGGGTGGTAGTAAATTGAGGGAGTTTGTCCCTGTTGGTCTGTTTGCTCAGAGAGTGGGAAAGAGGAGTGTGGTGCAGCTGCTATGGAGGGAGGCAGGAGGCAAGGACTGCTGAGGTCCTGCTGAGCTTGTGGGGAGGGATGGGGGTCCCCCTGACTCTGGGGGTTTTCTCCCACCAAAACTGCATAATTAGATCCAAACCTTTCTCAAACTCCATACCTCCCTCCTTTAAAATTGTAGGCTTCTGGCAAACTGGACAACTCAAAATTTCCTCTTAAATAAACTGCCTCCCTCCTGGAATCTATCACTATACTAAGTCCCCAAATGCTTCTTTTGGTAGCCAGGGTCATTTGAAAGAATGACTTTTAAGGTGTTGGGAAAGAGATAATGGAGTGAAATAATTATTTCTATATTTTTGTAATTATTAGGAATTAATCCATAGGATATGCAGGGAAAAGTAAATGCAATAGTATTTATTGACAAAATCACATAGACCCTTTCAGTATTTTAATAGTCCATATTTCTCCATTTGTAGCTTAGAACTAATGATTTACAAATACAACTGGAAAATTAATTACCTGTATTTTGTTATTGAGCCCCAAATTCAGTTCAGTGCAGCCCATTGTTGAGTACCTGTTAGGTTCAAGGTAGACGGTACGTATGAGCGAGGAGAGGCAGGATTGTACAAAATACAGGAAGCCTTTGACCGTGGAAATGTTGTATGATGCTTGTACATAAAATAGCATTATTCCAAGTAATTTCAGTCTCCAGTAGTCTGCACTTTTTCCGCAGGCGTGGTGGTAGATGTTTGGGCTCCAAATAGGTGTGTTTTCCCATCACACCTGACCTTCAGGTTTGCTTAAAGCAAGACTGCTGCTCCTCGTGCCTCACCTTTGTTTAATGAGAGCCATTTCCTGATGCCAATGTTGGGTTAATGGACTGAGATGGGAGAAAATCAAACGTACCTCTCCGTTTTACACCAGATTGCCTTTCTGCCTTGTGGCTTTCATCGCTCTGCTCTGCCCACATCTGCCATAATAACCATTATGGGTTTTCTACTGACTTCTTACCCAGGAGGATGTGTCGGCAGAGAGCCGCATCTCCCGAAGAAAGGAAGGGCAAATTCTTAATCTTCTTCCAGCGTCGTAGGTAATAATTTTCCCCTGCGAACCCCCAGGGAGGACTTCCATTGGCTCTCACAGCCACCGTTCCCACAGGCCTTTGGCTCTGTTCTGATTTATGGATTTTCTTCTCTCCTCTTTCTTCCCAGATAAGTTTTAATTATGTAGACAGATTGTAAGAGTCTCTTTTTTTCTTGTAAACAACTATTTCTTTGTTCCTAGTAGATTTGGTTTAACTGGTTTCCTCCTATCTGAATCTTCTTGTGGGCCCGAGAATTATGTCTGTTCCTCGTTTAACTGAAGCATCAAGAAAAGAGAAAGCTGGCTTCTATTCCTAGTTTCCTTGAGGGATTCGATCTTGGAACACCTCAAGCTGCAAATCTCCCTCGGGAGCTGTTCGTGGTTGCTTATGTTTAGAAAGCCCATAATATTTCAGTTTCGAATCGATACAAAAGCAAAGTATAACCCACCAAGTGAGCAGTATGTTAATATCCTCAGTTCTTTTACTTATTTAAAAACTTCCTCTCCTGCCGAAATCCCCTAAAGCACTTGTGAAAACGTTAACCATTGCCCCTTCCTCAAGGGACTCAGAGGTGGATTCGAGGAAGCCCCTCAGGTAATGCTGACAGTCACTGCTCTTAATCTGGCCCCTTCCGTGGAATAATTAAAATATGAAGGAAAAAAAATCTATTTATAATATGTCTTTTTGTGGTTGTTCTGCATATAAACACTTTTACCTGTTGGGTGGATCTCGTTTTTTTCTAATCAGGAGATGGTTCTACCACATCCACGTCTAATTCTGATCTCAGAGGTTACCCCTGAAGCCCAGCAGCTGTGTGAGAGTTGGTTTTGCCAAGAATAGCTAATATTATCCTTTAACCAGCCTCGCCATCTCCCACAGCACTTTCTAACTTTTACCTGGCGCCTCACCAGACACCTCTTTTCAAAGGCTAAATCAGTATTCTTTCAGAAGTTTTTGAGGCAGTTTTGGAGAAAAAGGAGAGAGAATTTTTAGACACAGCAGTGTGTGCGTGATGTCCTCATGCTGAGAAACCATTTATTCAGCACATCCCAAGAGGGGGTGTGGCCGAGGAACAGAGCCAAAGTCTTCGGTGGGCCTCAGACACAAAGCCATGACCTTGGCCTCATTAGCTGTCTGCTAACTAGGTGAGCTCACCATGCAAGCTACTGCGTATCTGCACAGCAGTTCACGGGGAGCAAGGCTTCTTAACTTGGGTTTCAGTAAGGGTACGTACAGACTGACATTTTACACAAGGCTTTGTGTGTGTTTATATTTGTCTGAGAAGAGGGTTTACATCTTAATTAAATTCTCAGAAGTGGATGGAGCTTAAAAAAATATATATATATATATAAAGTTAAGATTCCACTAAATGAGGTCATTCTTAAACAATGTCATGTCAGTATTTCTTTAAATAAAGTAATCTTTTATCACTGAAGTCAATTTCTGTAATCTAACGTAGATTTCTCTACTCCCAGGTTATTTTGGAAGAGGCCTTTGAACCTTGACCTTTTCATCTTTATCCTCCTATGCCTCTGAGGGATTTCGAGGGTACTGTTTAAGTTGGAGAAACCTATTACTTTTACAGGAGAGGGAAATAAGGATTGAACCCTATGTTTTTAAATTTTATATGTTTCTAAACCATGAAGTGGTTTTTTTCTCCCCTTTTTTCCATGAACATGCTTTTCAAAATTCCATCTTCAGCAGTCTATTCTAAGAGTCTTTTTTGCCCTCACAACCATTTTAAGGTAACCTGAACTCGACTTTACAATATAGGAGAGCTGAAGCCTGGGCGTGCTTTACCCAATTAAATGTTAGGCTGTTACTTATTAACTGCAGGATAGCACATTCCTTAGATAAGATAAAGGTAACAACAGAAAATTGCCTTTCCAGGGACATCAGCCACAGTCCCTTCTGTCTGAAGAGTGTTAAAGTTCATGTAAATCCTCAGTTTTGTTGACATACTGCGTATTTATACCATATTTGGGAAGAAATGTCATCAGCAAGGTACAGTATGGATTTTTTTTTAAAATTCTAGGTTACTGCATGGAATGGTTCCTCAGAGAAAAAGCAAGGGCTGAAGGTCTGTGGAAAACCAAATCCTGCGGTCTTCAGAAATGAGGAGAGATGCAGCCTTCTGAAGTGGTCATGACCCCCAGACAAGTCTTCCTGTCAGTGCTCATGTTTGGGGTCGCAGGGCTGCTCCTCTTCATGTACCTGCAAGTCTGGTTTGAAGAACAGCGCACAGGTAACACCGCAACTTCTTTTTTTTTTTTTCCAATTTTTAATTATAATGGTCATTTTCAGTTAAATAAGCTGTGATGTCTGTGGATACCTGGAAAATCACCATACTTCCAGCAACATAAAACATGAGACACAAACGAAAACCCCCAGCTCCCCAAAGAAAGGCTGGGTGTACATTTCTGGTGAGCATTTGCTTGGTCCCTTGGGGCCACACTTGGAATTTCTGTCATCTTGGGGAAGTAGCCCTTTAGCCTTCTTGGGCAGTAAGGACTGTTTGTGGAGACTTTGTCTCCACAGACGTGGAGCATTTATCCTGCCCTTGATGTGTTCGCTAAGCACTGGGCATAGGCCTGAAAGGAGGTGAATATACAGCAAACTCTCTCTTTCAATTCCTTTTTAATTTTTGTGTTGCTGCTCCAGTTGGTGTAGCAATTCCTTACTACCTTTACATACAGAGTTGGCAAACCTTTTCAGTAAAAATTAAAAATCATTTCAGGCTTTGTAGGCCGTGTGGTCTCTATCAGAACTGTTCAGCTCTGCCAGTGGATCAAAAAAGCAGCCAAAGATTATTTGTAAACAAATGGATCAGGACGTGTTCCAATAAAACTTTATTTACAAAAACAGGTCGTCGGCCGGTTTGGTCCAGGAGCAGTAGTTTGAAGCTGCCTACTATACTTATCCTGTACTTTCACCATTCAGTTTGTAATTGCTGTACATTGGAGGCACTCAATTACTGTTAAAGTGGATTATATTTATAACGATTAAAGGAAATGTTTTAGAACATCGTAGAAATATATACACATAGGTGTTGTCAAATCCATGTTTTCCATTAGTAGAAATAGCCTATGCTTGTCACTATTAAGAAAAACAAAGTAAAAACAGAACAATTTCTTACTTGTTTCCAATTGTGGCCTATTTTAAAATTATTCCAGATATAAAGCCCTGAAGGGTCTATTCTGAAAGGTAATTCCACACTAAGTCACAAATATGATCATTTTAAAATTTGTTTCCATCTTTAAGTCCCTTTCCTTGGTTTAGCCTTACAGACACTTTGGATTTATTTAATTTATATAGCAACTCCTGTGAAAAGACTGCATAGAATTATTTTCAACAGAGTATGTAATGTATTGTCAAAACTTATATGGAAACTATAACATTTTTTAAGTTTTCTATATTATCACTGCAGTGTTTTATCATAACAACTTATAATATTTAATGAAACCATCTGTGATAAAATATATAGGCTAACTCCTCCTGCGGTATAATTCCTAGCATAGATCTTGTCACGTAGAAGCCTGCAGTAGGTGTTGATTGAATGAGTGTGTTAAAAATTCACTGCAGACTGTAGACCCCATGGCAGCAAAGGAGGAAGAATCAAAGACACCTCATATTGGGAAGTTTGCTAATATCATTGCCTCCTAGAAAATTTCTCAAGAAAAGTATCACAAGGGGGCTGCAATATGTAAAAGAAATTATATTCATATATGTAGACAAATGAAGAAATGTTATGGTCCGTAGGAAGACACATGATATTTGAAGAAACAGTCAAGTCATGTCATAACCTTCCATATATAATGCAGTTTACAAAATATGTCCACAACCTCAATAGCTACCATTTATTGAAAGTTTAGTAAGTGCCAAATGTTTACGTGTATTTTCTCTTAACCTAACGATGTCTTCCTGGGTGTGATATTCTGGGTGTGTAGACAAGGACAGTGAGCTGCAGGTGGGTCAGAATGTTATCCAAGGCCCACATGTGTAGGGTTAGGTGCAGAGGGAAGACCTTTAGGGTTCAAACCCAGGTGGTGTCTCTCTGAAGTCCAGACCTGTACATTGCTTCTGTGATGGAGAAGCGGTGAATATTGCCCCTAGAGCACAGATGAAGCAACTGAGACTTCAAACGGAAACTTTAAGTGACTGGCTCAAAGATACAAAGCTTAGAGTTTTCAAAGTGTGACCCACGCTTAGGTTTTCCTATGCCTCGTGAGCCCTTAAAGAGCCTCCTAACCAAAAAGTGGACATGATAAACGTATAATAAATGCTGTAGCGTCAGTACAGAGGTTTTTAAATCACTGACGTGGTAAACCTCAGCTGGATTCACAAGTTTATAGATGTATATAATCTCTTCTGCACATTGGATTCTTAATCCAGTTCATACGTTTTCCAAGTTGGGTAATTATTTTCTCCACTTATGTTGGGCTGGTGAAACATTTACAATTTCTCCTCTTAATTTTTATTTGTGATTGCTAGAAGTACTTTCTCTGATTCTCAATATGTCCTAAATGGAGTATATAGTATTTTCCACAGTCTCCTCATGACAGTGAGAATAAACGTCAGAACCAGGATTCCTTTAGATGACTGCTTTACTGAAGGAAAGTTTCGTTCTTTTTCATAAGGCTTCCATCTGGAACTTTGCCTTGTACTTGGCTTGTGCCCCGGCGGTAGTTCTGCAGTTTTCCAGGCAGACAGGGACCTGTGTATTTCAGGTGTGTTTCAGATAATGTCAGGGGCTTCGGGCATTTTTAAGGGCAGCCTCTTTTTAAACCAGAAAGTATCCGAATGTGTGTTTTGATGTTAAGTTAAAAATTGGGGGGAAAGAATCTGAGTTTTGGACACTTGAACTATCACTCACAGAACTTTGGAAGAAGTTTTGGTTCCAGAGATCACTTGAAAATAGAGAAGGTTTTAAAACTCTGCATGGTTTGATCTCACATACATTTCACTGGTATAGGAGAACTCTGGGGTTCTTTTCATGCCTTTTTCTTTTGAGGCTTTTAAAAACCTACTAAGGGAGGGACTGTTTTCTATGCCTTCTTAGTTTTCCTGGGCTGCTTCTTATTAAAATAAAATGCTTCAGAATTACCAAAAAAAAGAAAAGAAAAGAAAAACACTTAAATGGGCTCTGATACGCTAGTGAAAGATTATGAATGGGCAAGATTTTTTTGGAGGTGAAGAGGAAAAATATGTGATAAAGAAATGAAAATCTATCCAATTATACAACAGAGAGTTCCAGATGACCATCTATCCTTCAATACTATCATCAGTTAAATTATAGATTTCTTTGTGCTGATTTTCAGTATGTGGATGTGTATTATTGTGAATTTTATTTTATACAGCTCTTCTTTCTAGTTTGTTAAAAGTACAAGTTTTACATTCAGGGGAATCTTGAAAATCTCAGATCTCCTTTTTAACCATATGACCCTGGGCAAATCACTTAGCCTGTCTAAGCCTCAGTTTCCTCATCTGTAAAATGGGGATAATGATGGTTTCCATACAGGATTACAGGAGACAGTGCCTGCAAAGCACTTAGCATGGTGTCTCACAAGCAGTATTGCACCATGAATGTGAACTCCTTTATTATTATTCTGGAAGTGATGCAGAGCATCCTCAGACTTGCTTATCCTGAGTTACCCCAGTTACAACTCAGCCACAGTTCAGGAACTCAAATTTGTGCCTTGACCGATTAAGAGGGGAAAAAAAAAAATCTCCCTTCTGGCCCTGGTGAAAATCGCTGGGAAATCTAACTGGCACAGAGTCGTTGTTGGAAGTGTTGGAAGGAGCATGGCAGATTGAGGGGCAGAGAGAAGGGTCACTGTGCAGGAGGATCTCGTGTCCGGACAGGCTGCCCAAGGTCAAGAATTTGTTCATTCAGCAGTATTTTTTGAAGACTTAATGATCGTCGGTGCCAAACAGTGTGGTGAATGCAGAGATCTAACAGAGAACCAGATATAACCCCTGTTCTCAAGGAGACTATACGCTCATGGATTGTAAGGGAGGAAGTCTTGGGTTCAGGCCAAGGCTTTGGTACAAAAGGACAGTCCATTGTGAAGGGAAGGAGACAGGCCCTCCACTCTGAGGCAAAGTAATGAGTTGGGACCAGGAGAAAGAGCCCGATCAATTGCCTGTGATGGGATTGCTGACCGGATAAAAGTGTCAGAGGGAGGGGCATAGCGGTGGGGGCCAGGTCAACAGATGCAGGGGACCAGATCAGAGCGGAACAGACACATGTCTGGGAAAGATGCAGGAACGAGGAGGGCCAGTTCAGGATAACTCACAAGCATGGGTCACTTTTTTCCCGCAGCTACTGTTGAAATTTGCGACTTGTTGCTCTTTCTCAGGGTAGACTCTGGCTGCTAAACATAACAAGTACCAAAAGGTGTGGTACGCAATTGTTTTGTATGGGCAATTAGACAGGGTTAAGACAGCATAACAGATTCAGAATCTCAGCTTTTGAAAAAATTTAAAGATCATCTTGTACACCACCTGTTTTTAAAAAATATAAATCTGATCACATCCACTCCCCTGTTCAAAACTTTTCAGGGCTATCTCATTCCCTTTACCAGAAACTTGTCCCTGGGGCCCACAGAGCTGTGGGTGTAGCCAGTTCCCGCCTCGGGAGCCCCACCTCTGTTCCCTCAGGGTGTCATCCTGCTTCCCTTCGCTTCCTCTGCCACCCCAAGCCCTTGGCTAGCTCAGCGCTCTCGCAGGTTCAGAGCCGAAGTGCTCTCCTCCCAGCTCTCACCTGCCAGGGCTTAGCTCAGATGTCACCTACTTTGATCACCCCACAACCCACCCGTCAGCCTCCCCCACCACCTTACTTTATTTATTTTCGTTGGAGAAATGATCATGATTAGCAATTACTTTGTTTAATTATCTGTTGACTTAATTATTAATTGTGTGCATCCCTTGACTGTTCTGCGCCCCCCACGAGGACAGAGACCTTGTCCGCCTCCCTTCCTGGGTGTGCTCGCTCTGCAGGTTGGGGCATTTGTTGGGTAGGTGCTCAATAGGATTGTCGTGCGGGTGGTAAATAATGCTTCAGCAGATTTTCCAACATCCGGCCGAATGACTGCATAGATTGTGTTTGAATATTTCTGGGACACAGGATCCACTACGTCCCAGGGCATCCACTCAACTCTATAGCCACTTCCTTAGAAAGCGCCATATGTTAAGCCAGAACCCACTTCCTTAACTTCTGCATCTTCATCGTCCTCATTGCATCCC